AAACCTGCCACCACATCTCCCACCAGCATTAAACCAGACAAAAGGCTTTCATCTTCCCAGTCTGAGCACCTTCCTGCTCATAGCTGCTTAACCTGGGACACAAACACGGTGTGGAAGTGCTGGGATGGAGCTTTTCCAGGGTTGTTCCCTGTGTGTTTGCACAGCAGCATCAACTGCTGGGGAATAAAGCCGTGCTGAATTAATTGAATTATTTCAGAGATGAGTTTGGTCCACTAATTCCATATCGATTCTGGGCTTTAAATAGCATTAAGGACCCATGTTAAAACTCAATTAAAACTCAGGAATGCAGTGGTGGGAACGGGGTAAGGTCACACGTGTGCAGGAGGTGGAATAATGCAACTGTTTCCACTGACAGGGGTCTGTATCTGGTGTAATGGGAGCTAAATTGAATCTGTGTTTAATCTGATCATCGGCTGCCCCTTCTGTGAGGAAGAACAAGGTGGAATTAATGAGCCCTGAGGAGGTCTCTGAGGTCTGTGTGGATACAGGGACCAAGTAATTGAACTTGTGCTCCCTTGGGCAATACTGGAGTGTGATGTGAGTAGATGGCTGAGGTGGCTCGTGCTGGCCAGGGCAGCCCCGGAATCTGCAGCAGGGATTTTATTAGTGACGTTCCCCAGTTTTCTTCCCACTGTGCAGTGACTCACAGGGAACCTCCTGGCAGAGCCATCGTACACCTGGTGTGGTGGTTCCTCTGAACACACTGCAGGGCCAATCTTCTTCACCAAACCATTACTGCCAGAATTAACAGGGCTTGGAAGGTGCCGTTGAGGCGGAGCTGTCTGCGGGGTGTTGATGGGTAGTTGGGATAACAGCAGGTGGGAACTGGGATTAAGTGTTCCAGGGAGTGGGATGAGTGTGAGGAGAGCCTGGGATTGGGGCATACCTTCATACACAGACTCATCTGCACTCCAGTTGCACTGACATCACCCTTTGTCTTACTTAGAGGTCTCCTCTCCCTGTTCAAGCTGTATTTTATGGGAACATCTCCCCCTCGGATGTTTGAGGGTCAGATCAGCAGTGAGAGCAGATAAATCTTGCATCCAGTGTTGTGCAGATGACTGGAGCTTCTCAAAACCCAAAGTTGTACACGATGGTGGGAAATAAATGATCCCAGATCTCCTAAATGGGGGTCATTGGGTGGATTCTTCTGGCCCAGCCCCCTGGGGGGTTCATCAGACACCTCTCCCCCTGCTCTGCTCTGTCCCATCAGAGATACCACAAGCACAGAGAACATGTCCTTTTTCTGCAGAGTCCTGGTGGTCACTTGGCTCCCCCTGAGCTGCCATTCCACGTTGCCAGGCCGTGCCAGGGCCCTCTGGAAGTGGCTCTGGGCCGTCTGTTCCATTTGCATCCCCGCAGGGAGAATTATCAGTGGCTTTCAGGAGCGGGGCGTGAAGGGGCACACTCTGTTCCTTTTCCCTCTCCTACCTCTTTGGGACCCGTTGCCTTTTCATTTTTGCTTTATTGGATTATTAAAAGGCTGCCAGCTGGCTGTAGGTAAGTGGGGGTTTTCTCTGCTGCAGTCTGCAGAGAACAGGCATCAGTGTGGAGCCATTTAGTCCTGGCAACTGCTTCCTACTTTTCCAGATGATTCCAGCCAGCTCTTTTTGTGTTTAGCCTATTGTCAGATGCAGCCACAAAGGCCCAGGGTATTAATCCTGTCATCTGTTCAGTGTGTGGAGCTGCTGAGTGGGCTGTGCCGTGAATGAGGAGCTGGAGGTGCAGGGGGAGAGCAGGGATGGGGCGTGGGCGTGTTCGGAGCGTGTTCGGAATTCGTGCCTCTTTCCCTGGCATCGCTGATTGAATGTGAAAATTCCCTTCTCGTCCCCAGGGAGGGGAATGTGCAAGTGCAGAGGTCTGATGGTGTGAGGGCAGGTGGAACTGGGGCAGGCTGGAGTGGTGGAATCCTGAACCGTGCTTGGAGCAGACAGAGCTGAGCATTCAGCACTTGGTGAAGGACTCGTGTCTGCCCCGTCCTGTGGTTACAAACCAGTCTGGGGGATTGGCCTTTAACTGGATCCAGGGGAGAAACCATTTCCCTAAACTCCCCCCCCACCCCTCAAAACATTTGTTTGGTTTTTTTTTAAATAACAATTCCACAGATCTAATTTGGAACCAGCACAGCTGAGGGCACCATAACGAGTGTCTGTACATCGAGTGATAGGAACTTCTTAAACCAGGGCAGCTGCCAAGGCATCCTCACCGTGGAGCTTCTGCTCTGAGAGGATCCAGCCAAACTGCTGCCTCCAGGCTGCTGCTTTCCCACCTGGAGACTCAGAACAGCACTCCTTGGGCCCTGCAGCTTTGAGATGCCGAGCACCCCGAAGCAGAGGAGGTTTCTGAGCGTGAGTGGCAGGAGGAAGGAGCTGCTGTGCCTCTCAAACCCCCCAAAAGCCTGTGTTGTTTTTGGGAGGGCTCGGACAGGAGGGGTTTGGTGCTGGCATTTCCAGATGTGTTCCCAGCCAGACACTGAGCATTAGCAGTGCAGAGAAAAATGCGTGCTCGGGCTTCCAGTGGGAAGCAACAACAGCAACAACAAAAAGATCCTTGCCATTTCTTGCAGCTGGAAAGTGATGCCAGGAGCTGTTATTTCAGACAACAAGAAGTCTGGATTTCTCTGTGTGTGTGTGTGAGATGCACCTTTGAATGTGTATCAGGAAAATCTACCCAGAGAAAATGCAGAGCGTAGAAAGTAGGTCTGACTGTCACTTCAGTGAACACCAAGTGTGTTTTGGAAATGTCTTCGTGTGTTTCTTTTAAAAAACAAACAAACAGCAACAAAAACAAAGACAAGAACAGCTGCTTGTGGATAAATATACCCTTTTTTTCTGGGTTTGTGCTTCCCATTGCAGCAGGTGCCAGTTTTTCTGGAGTGCCTGAAGAGCAGGAACATCTCCAGAAAATGCTCAGGTTACAACACCTGGATAAAACCCTCCTGTGCCACTTTTGTAGGGACATGGTCAGCAGAGGGCAAATGCCCTGGGGAACTTGTGGTTGCCAAACTTCTCCAGCTTGTTTTTATATGTTTGGCCAAATCCTCAGCTCGCTGGAGGGGGGATATTAAGAACAGCAGCAGCCCTGAGAGCTGAGCAGTGGTTTGTTGAGAAGTTCTGCTTGGACAGGGCATAATTAATGTGATTTTTTTCCCAGTGACCACCCTTAGGTCCCCTAAAAAGCACTGGCTCGAGCTGGAAGGAAGGGCACCTCTGAAAGGATGCTCCTGTGCCTGGGAGTGGAATGGAACAATGTCCAGTGAGCCCCAGCACAGCTGATGGGCTTGGTTTTGTTTATTAAAGCCAGCCCTTTGTGCAGCAGCAACGGAAAATCCTATTTCTGTACCCATAAAAACTTTGCTCCCGTGGTTGTTGTTATTGGCAAACTCAGTCCCTTTGGTGTTGATGGAAAAGTATTTACTGGGCAGGCCTGCATGGTTAGCAAGCTTCATCTGCTTTCATTGTGCTTTGATGGGCACACAGGGTGCTGTGGGACTTGGGGTGTCCTCCCTGAATCCCTGTTCCCAGGCTGGTATCCCTGTCCTGCAGCGTGGACAGCCGGTGTCCCTCCTGTTCAACCATTCCCAGGCCCAGCTGGATGTGTGGGATCAGCCAGCTGACAGTGGCAGTGACACAGAACTGCTGCAGAAGGATTAAAAGGAGCTCCTCTAACAAATGCAATTGCACAAACACGCCTGAGCCCTGTGTGCTGTTTGATTCCTTCCCAAGAACAGCCATTCCTCAGGGCACTGCCTGACAGACACATCCAGGAGCCTGGGGCATCCTCTCTGAATCCACAGTGCCCTGAATCCACAGGCACTAATATTGGCCTTCAGATCCCTCTTAGGAATGGTTATCCCTGCAGGACTGAGAGGATTCCCTGCCAGGCGGTGATTTTGGGGCTGGCAGAGCTTTGGTGCCGTGCAGACCTCCCAGGCAGCTGGCACTGCTGCCCTGGCTCCCTGCCCCTGTGCCCAGGGGTGTTTCTGCCCTCTGCTCTGTGGAAGGATCCTTCTGCAGTGGGGGATCCTCCAGGAGGAGGAAGCTGTTGTGGTTTTGACTTTGTTTGTCCACGAGGCAGGAGCTTTGCAGGCGTGCACTGATGGAAGGGGACAACCTTTGTTTGATGGGACGTGAGGTTGCTCTTCACTGAATAAATGACCAGTGTTAGAGTTAAAACCTTGCATGTTTCTCTTTCCTCCAAACCCCGTGTCCCACCTTTTTAAGGGCATTTAGCCTGAAATCATCAGCTGAGTTTTTAAGAAAACCATTAAATATTCAGAAGTTCTCAGTGAGGCTCAAGATAAAGGATTAAATAGCCCAGAAAAGCTGCTCTTTGACTTTCCCAGCTCCTGCCCCTCAGTGAAGACATTCCCTGGGGTATCCCACGAGGGAACTTGTGCACAGGTAACTGTGCTCTTCCTCACAAGAGCACATGTTTAACTCATGTTTAACTCAGACCATGCTCATCACAGTGTGTTAAAAATGCAGGTGGCATTGCTGGTGTCAGGAGGTTTTTATCAGCCAGGCCCCATCACAGGGAGATGTTGCAGAGGGGGCACAGTGGAACCTGCTGGAATGCCAGGGACACCTCATCCCCTGCTTACATCCAGTCCTAAAGATCTCCTGGCCCTCAGTGGGAATGTGAGGTTTGCAGACCCCTCGGCAAGGGCGAGGTGTTTGGTGGAGCCCCTGGAGCAGGGGTTGTGTCCCTGTGCTCAGCTCCTGCCCCTGCAGTGTTCCCAAGGGGAATTCACCTGGTGTTTTCAGGAGTGGGGAACCTCTGTGGGCACCTTGTTTTTAGAAAAGGGATTCAAGGGAGCTGCAGGACAAACATCTCCCAACATTTCTCCGCGGGCTCTTTCCCAAGGGCCTGGATCAGAGTTTCCATAAGCACCACTGATGCAGCCACGGAGGGCAGGGCCTGGTTTGGCCTCTTTTCTCTCCCCCCAGCTGACTGAACTTTGTTTTCTTGCCTTTCAGTCCTTCCAAGGAAGCCAAGGACGTGCTTATCTCTTCAATTCCGTGTGAGTACCTCGTGCGTGGCACCCGTGACGCGGGGATGGGTGGGATCAAAAACCCTCGTGAGGGGAACCCAAAAGGAGAGTTCCCCTTAAAAATCCTCTACCTGGGGCTCAGGAGCTTGGTGGAAATGTTTAAAGAGAGAGGCAGGAAGTGGCACTGATTCATATTTGATTCCTGGTGAGGTTGCAGATGAGCAGTGAGGAAAAAGGTGAATTTTTTTTCATCATCAGATTGAGAAATAAGAGCTAATGGATGAGTCACTCTCTGCTCCAAGGATGTAGCTGGACCAAAGAGCCAGAATTCCGTGAATGCAGAGATAAATGATCTCTAAATACGCACTTTTTAGAGCTAACATAAACCCCAAGTCTGATTTCCCAGCGACTGAAAATAGTTTGGGTGAGGTCACTGCTGGGATGTCTCTCACAGGAACTGCTGATTTCGGTTCCATTCTTCAGTTTTTCCATTTGGGAAAGCAAAAGCACCATTTTATCAATTTGAAGCTGAAAATCTCTCTCAAATGCCTAATTAGCACGAGCGACTGGAGTGTTATTAATCTCCTGCTCGGAGCTTCTGGAATAAAAAAAAATCAAAAATCTCATTTTCCCTTTTTTGCTCCGCTCTGGAACTGCGGGGGAGATCTTTGGGTTGTCCCGAACCTCCCGCTTACGTTTTTAGGGACTGCAGTAAATCACTGGAGGGTTTTTGGTGTGGAAAAGCACTAATAGGGAGCCTCTCTGCTTTCCCCCCCCAGAGTTAACGTGGGCTGTGGCCCCGCAGAGGAGCGGGTGTTATTAACGGGATTACATGCGGTGGCAGATATTTACTGTGAAAACTGCAAAACCACGCTGGGGTGGAAATATGTGAGTACCACGGGGTCGTCTGCGTTGCCTGGGGACAGCTTTGGCTCCAGCCCTTTCCCAAAGGTGTTGATGTCACGTGGAAGGACCATTAATTTGGGCCCCCCTCCCCCCAAGTGCAGGTTCTGATCTCGGTTCCGTTTCCCCTCCCGCCCTGTGTTCGTTGCATCCGCTCAGAGCAGCTCTTTGTGCTGGATGTGATTTTTTTGAATTAAGAATTGTTAAGAATATGCACCCACAGGCCTGGTTTTGGTGGTGCTGCTTACCACAAACGAGGATAAATGTGGTTCCTCCTGTCTGGTTTTTTCCCTGGATGTGATCAGAGTAATGCAATGCTCCGTTAATCCCGTGTCCTTCCCACTGGAAACGCTGTTGACCGTGGGTTTATCTGTTTGCCGGCTCTTGCTCTTCATAAATTCAATTAGTTTCAAATAAAGGCTGGTGTTACATCCTAATTTGTGCTCCTGCAGGCACACTGGCTGGCCCAAATGCTCTGACCAGTGTCTGAACAGAGCCCCATTTTGTACAAAATATTCTTCTCTAAATCAGCTGAAGGGCTGTGAACAGGAAAACATCAAAAATTGATGGGGGTGGAATCCATGCAGAAACACAGCATGGATCCCACAAATGGAGCAGGACACCAAGTACATCAGTTGAGTTGGTGGTAAACAAATGCCAGTATTCCATAAGCAGCAGTGAGCCCAGGCCAGCAGGGAATGACCTTTCAGGTGAGTTGCAGGGAGAGCAGCTGAGCAGGGCTGAGCCGGTGTGGAGGGTGCAGCCTCAAGAACTGAGTCCCTCCTGCTCAGGGCCATCAGGGATCCCAGGGATTGCCCTCTCCAGCTGTGCTGTGTGGAGGCATTGGGTGTTTCCAGAGCTGTGACCACGGATCTGTGCAGAGCTGCTCCTTCTGCTGCTCCAGCTCCACAGGAATTTACCATAACCCATCCCATTCCCAGGGCTGGTGGTTTCACACGTGCTCCATCAGAAAACCTCTGCATTCTTCACAAACTAATAAATTCTCCCTGGAGAGATAAACCCTGGGGTTTATCACCAGTGATTCCTAAATCCTTGGTTAGTTCCAGGAGCCATTGGCCTCGGAAATCTGCACCTTACATGGTGTCAGTCCTTTTTTCCCAGCCTGTAAAGACAGCCAGGAGCAGGGCTTAAGATTCTTCCCACATCATTTCCCTGACAGCCAAGGGGAACACCTGCACTTTTACTCCCTAGACAAGGCTAAGTCTTGCACCAGCATTGATCCATAACTCTGATTTCCCTCCATCTCATTCTTTCTCCTTTTCTTTTTCCTTTTTCTTTGTTATTTTTTTTTCCCAGGAACACGCTTTTGAAAGCAGCCAGAAGTATAAAGAAGGCAAATACATCATTGAACTAGCTCACATGATCAAGGATAATGGCTGGGATTGAGTGGGGGAGCCCAGCCCTAGCAGCGTGTACGACAATGCCATCCAACAACCGAACATTGTACCCGAGAGTGAGAGAGTGACTGAACGCTTGGTTCCATGCATTTAGAGGCTCTGCAACCCGGGAGCATCTTCACACCCTTCTCCATCTTTATTGGTGACTGGCCTCTAAATTCCTGTCTCTCTGTCTCTTTGCTTTGTATCTGTTTGTGAGTTGACCCTGGCTGCTTCTCTCTCTGTCCCGGCTCGGAGGATGCACCGAGTGCCGGAGCCATTCCCTGTGCCCAGTGCTGGAGGAGGAACCGCCCGTGCCCTCTGCGGTGGCGTTTTGACCATGGAGAGCTCTCGGTGCTGGGGGGAGGACCCAAGGTTTGGGCAGCAGGAGGAGGAGGAGGAGGAGGTCCGAGGGGGTGGGCCCCAAGGGAATCGTCACAGGTTGACCCTGCACTTCTCCTTTCGGTCCTGGTTAAGCAAGGCTTGAAACTTTCACTCCGTGTCTGAGTGGACAGACCAAATACCTCACGGCTGCGCCCCCTCCCCGCCCCAACCCGCTGGCTGAGCACAGGTCTGCCCCCACCAGCCACTTGCAATCTGTGTTGTGTTTGCTGTTTGTGAACTCCTTGTTGGAGGGGGCAGGGCCCGAAGGCTGCAGAGATTTCCCTGCCTCTCCTGGGTCTCACCAAACCCCCCCGGAGCTGGGCCATGGGGAGCCCCCTCAGTGGGCTGTGGGGATGAGCTGTGGGGAGCCCCCTCAGTGGGCTGTGGGGAGCACCCTCAGGGCTCAGGAACCACATCCTGACTCCTGAGCCCTCAGAGAGGGGGAGAAAACCACTTCAGGCACAAGGAGGCTGGAGCTGCTGCAGCTCAGAAGATGCAACAGGGGTGAAAAAAAGGCATATGTGAGGCAAGAAAGGAAATTCCCTAGAGGAGGGTGGGGACAGACTTGGTAACAGAGGGTACCCCTTGATTTCCTGGCCTCCCCTGAGCACCCTTGGGGGTGTTTCACCAACCCTTCACAAGTGCAAGGAGGAAAATGCTGTTAGAGGATCTTTTCCTCAAATCCCAGGCCCCAGCCGAGGTCTCCTTGTGGGAGCCTGGCAGAGAAACGGGGAGAGGAGGGAGCAGAGGACCTGGTGGTTGTATTGCACAGGTGGATATTTCGAGCCATGAGGTGTCCCCCCCAAAACCTTCCCCCCTTTTCCCGCTCCCAGAAGCCTGTTTGCAGGCACAGGGGGGGAAATGGGATAGGAAGAAAAGAACTTAAAAACCTTTCCCCTCCCCCTGAAATTATGCCTTGGAGTTTAAAGCAGGGGGTAGATTGTGGGCAGCAAAACTGCAAGGGGATGAGTCCCTGCCATTTGAATTTTCCCATTGTGATTCCTGAGGACCTTCCCGAGGCGGATGGAAGGGAAGGGGCGTCGTGTGTGAGAGGGAAAGGCATAAATGACAATGTGAAGTTTGCTCTGCAACAGCCCAGCCAGGAACTGGTGCATAACTCAAGACCGTTGAACTGAATTAGTTTTTATCTCTCTGAGTGAATTTTCCTTTTGTTTGTGGAATTCTTTCAAGTAGGTTCATCCATGGGGGGGTTGGAAATCTTTCTTAATCCAGAAGGAAAGAGCATTGTGCAGGGGGTTGTGACTCCTTACGAAACGGGAGCTTTGGAGCTGTAAGCTGGTGCTGCTGGATTCCACCCCGAGAGGCTCCGAGCAGGATCAGGCCTGGGGGGCTGCTGGGACAGAGTCCCTTTGGTGGTGAATTGGGTGGGAATGTGAGCAGAGACGCCCCTGAGTGTTGGGTCCTCGTGCTGAAACCCAAACTTGAGGAAACAAAGGCTGTTTTTTCTCTCGAACCTCTGGTTTTGACAACTTGGAGAGGGAAGGGAGGTGGGGGCTGGTCTGGCTCCTGCAGTGGGTGGAGCTGGATCAGTTTGGGACCAGCCTGAGGTGGCTTCTGCCCTCACCCTTCTGCTGTGGCTGTGTAACAGTTGCTTCAGCTTTCGCTTCTGGTCGTCCCTGCTTCCATCATCCACATTCCCCTGAGGTAAAAACCTACTAGAAATCAAAAATTCCACAGCACCCACTGTGTTGTTTACTCTGGCACTGAGCTGCTCCCGTTTCCCTGTCCTTTGCTTGGGGATCCATGACAATCTATTGGGTTTTGGGTAGTGGGAGGTCATTTCTGTTCTTCAAGGAGCTCTTGAAGTCTCCACAGAGACAGAGCCTTTAAAGGGGTCTGGTTGGAGCTGGGAGGAGTAAGGGATAATCCCAGATCCTGTGAGTTTGAGGAGAGCACCCAGGGGCTCATCTTTTGATGCTGGTCTTTGGAGTGATTGCTGATAAAAAGTGCTTTAAAAGGCAGGGCTGTCTAGAGGACTGCTCTGAGAAATAAGAACTGCAGAGAGCTGGTTTTCATCTCTATATTTGGGACAAGAAAGGACAGTGATCCATCAGATGGGGCTGTTTTTAACTGGTCACAGGTGTTGGGCTTTTAATGGCAACCCGTCTAAGCTTGAATATGAGATCTTAATCTGCTTTTAATTGGTTTTGTCCCACCAGCATCCGCAGAGTCACCCACTGCTGAGAGTGACAGGACAAAGCCTGTGTGGCTGTGACTGTCCCCAACCCCCAGGGGATTCCCTGGGGGGTGCAGTGCTCTGCACAGGGACACCAGGAGAGATGGGCTGGGGATTGTTCTCTGCTGGCTGCCCAGGGAATCTCAAGTGCTTCAGTGCAGCCCTGGGAGCAGGGCTGGGATCTGTGCTGGGGCTGCCAGGCCTTCACCTGGCAGGGTGGATGGAGCCAGAGCACGACCAAAGAGCCTCAGTCAGCACCCCCTGCTCCTGGGGGGCCATCCCTGAGGGGCTGGAGCTGGGACAACCAGCTGGGAGATGTGGCCCATGGAAAAACCTCCTTGGCCAGGCAGTGCCTGAGCTCGTGGTGCTGCTTACCACGGGTGCCATTCCTCGGGGAAGCACAGGCAGCAGTGGGTTTTCCATTTGTTTTGGCGTGGCAGCCTCGTGTCTGACAAGCTGTGAGTTTACACCCCCCCTCCCTCCCTCCCTGTCCACCCCATAGCTCAGACTTGAGTTTAAAAGTTTAAAACTTAAGTTGAAAACTTTTAAGTTTTAAATTGGTTTTCTCCGGTGGGTTATCTGGTGGCGTGAAATCCCCGTCCCTGTGATAAATATTCAGATGATAATATATACAAAGCAGAAAAAAAAAAAAGAAGAAAATATCCCCAGACATTATCTTGTGAAATATACTTTTGTAAATAATATTTAATTTAAAACAAACAAACAAAAAATAATAATATATTTGGTGCTGTTTTCTCAGAGCCCCCTCCCTGAGAGCACTTTTCCTGTTGTTTATAAATGATGCCGTTTCCTCCCGGAGTTGTCGGAAAAAACAAAGGGAAACAAAACTCCCAATCTGCGTCGCCCTCCGAGGCCGCTCCGATTTCCCTGTGTTTGTGGTGGGAGAGGGGACTCCCCCTGCTCCCCCCTGCACAGCCCAGCAGAGCAGGGGGCAGATCCAGAGGATCCAGGCCTGGAATCTCCCCTGGCACCAGTTTTGGCTGGAGTGAAGCAGATCTGGAGAGGGGATTGAACGTGAGCTGCAGCCCCCGAGGCGTTGGAGGCTCGAGGGGCAGCAGGGAGGGAGGGAGGGAGGGGGGAGGTTTTTAACCAGTCCTTGTTTTTAAACTAAACCACAAGTCTCTGGACATGGATCCTGGTTTTCTTTCTGAGGTTTATTTTTATTTGTTGTTGTTGGTTGTTTTATGATTTTTTTTTTTTTTTTTTAAAACCAGGCTGCTACATAACAAATTAGAGTAAAAGTTTACCTCTCTGGCAGTAAAGTTCATTTATTTTGTTCTCCTTTCTGTCTTTTATCTCCCCTGTTCTCCCCCCCTTCTTCGTTTTTAATTCACTGGGTCTCTTGTTTATCCCAAAGTGGACCAACAGCACAAACCACTGGGCTGTGTTTTGCTGGGCAAGGAGCAGTTTTCAGTGCTCAGTAACTGTTGCAAGCTCTTTAAAAATCTCTGCTTTTGGTGCACACGATTTAAAAACACACAGGGAAAAATAAAAACAACCCAATCCAAACCAACCGACCCTACGAGCGAAGCCCGTTGTTCTCGTGCCGGTCAAGTGAGAATTCCCTCGGTGTCTGCACCTTCCTGACTGCTCTGTGAGTGAGTGGCTCACGCATTTCCACTGCACTGCCTTGTTTTTGGGGAGCAGCGTCGTGTTCTGGCCCTGGGGTGAGGAGGGGACACCACCACCCACCCTGTGGGATGAGCAGCTTGGAGACAGCCCGAGCTCGGCTCCGTGGGGAGCTCTTCCCAGCAGGTGAGAGGCCTCAGCCGTTCAGTGCTCAGAAACAATCAGGTTAGACAGGGACAATCCTTGTTCTGTCGCAGAACCCTCGTTTAGAAAAGGATGAGCGGAAGAGGGGAAACAAAAATCATCCCGAATTCAGAACAAAAAATAAAAAAAAAAAAAATAGAATAAATCAGCGTTATTTAAAAGCAAGCAGAATGGCATCGTGTCAGGTACAACCACCGGTGAGCTGTTCCCATCGTCCCAGCTGTGTGTATCCTTCGTTTTGTTCTCCATAAGGAAATGGGAATGCTTTCCCCACTGACAAAACTAAGGACGATATTTCCAATACCAGCCTGTCTGTGGATGCTCTTGTGTTTACAAATTGTGTACACTTTCATTTCTTGGATCTTATTTTTAAAAATTTTTTTCTTTTTTTTTTTTTTTTTGGTGTATCCTTTCAGGTCATTTGCTTCGGTCAGAAATGCAATTGTTTGTTTTCCAATCGTTGGGTTTCACCTTTTCCTGTGTTTGTACATTGTATATAGTTCTTCAGTATTAGAGGGAGGCGTATTGTTTGTCATATTTACAATATGTGTTGGTGCTCATTTGAGAAAATAAAATTTTCAAGTACTAAAGGTGCTGGTCCATGGCCCTGCTTTAACCTCCCGTGCCGGCTGCAGTCTCAGAGCTGCTCCCAGCTGGGATCCAGCATTCCCAGTTCCTGGAGCTTTCACCTCGAAGCCGCTGCGTGGTCGGGCTGAAGGCGGCACTTTGGGTATTTGGGGGATGAGCTGATGTAAAATCCCTCTTCATCCAACTGAGGGCAGCTGGGACCTGTCCTGGTGCCCTGTGCCAGTGCCCAGCAGGGCTGTGAGTGCCCTTAATTCCACCGTGTGTCTGAAAAAGCAACTTAACCCTCTTTGGAGAGGCCAGGGCAGGGCCCTGAACTCGGAGCCAGCTCAGGCCACGGCAGGAAGAGCTGGAGCTGAGAGGCTGGAGGAGCTGGTGGGGGTGACTGTGGGAGGTGAGGAGGAGACAGAGGGGTGTGGGCAGAGGTGGTTGGGGGCCAAGGAAGATGTGGCTGTGAACTGATGTCCCGAGGGTGCTCATCCAAAGGTGCTCATCCCGTGGGCAAACAGGTCCAGCAGTGGGACAGTCAGTGCAATGGCTCAAGGTCACTGGAGTTCCTGGTTTCACCAAAACCCTGCGGTGCCATCCCTGGCTCCAGGCCTGTGTGGGCACGATCCTGTGGTCATGGGGATCTGGAGGGATAGGGAAGGCCCGGTGGGATGGAGGGAAGTGGCAGGCGTGGTGGCCCTTGGCTGCTCCTGCCTGGTGGGAACAGCTGTTATTTACCAGCCGGTTGTGTAAGTCCTGCAGGGAAATTCCCCCAGGAAGATCTCGTGCTCAGTCGGTGTTTCCCACCCCGAGCATCCAAGGAGCAGCAGGAGGGATGACTCGAGGGCGTCTCTGAGCAGCAGCCCAGGGCTCTGCAGGAGGGAGGGAAGGAGGAAGGGGTGCTGGGTCCTCCTCGGGCCCCACGAGGTTCTGCAGGACTCACCCTGACCTTCCCCCGTGGCCAAGGAGTGACAGCTCCTGCCCCCCGTCCCACCCTGCCCCTCACAGCGAGGACGGTCCCAAGCTATAAATACAGCAGTGCCAGTGCCCTTTAATCCCGGTTCAAGGCAACTCGACACTCCCGCTTTGCTTCCCAGCCCCTTTTTTTTGGGATGCTGGCCCTGGGGGGGGATGCTGCCGGTTTGTTCTCCGTGGGTTCACTCGATCCCTCTCCTCCTTTCCCGGGTGAGCCACTCCAGGCCTGGCCTCACTGAGGGCCCTGGGCTTCCCCCACACCACCTCTCCCGGTGGGAACACAGCTCCAGCCTGGGCAGGAGGATTTTCTTGCTGACAGGGAGGATTTACAGGAGCCTGTTGAGGCTGCCAAACACACCAGGGTTATTTTTACCCGGCTCCAGAGTGGGGTATAAATAGTGCCGAGGCCACTCTGCCTTGCTGACCGAGAAATGTCCCACAGAAACAGGCCAGGAAATGTCACCTGGAATGTGCTCACCCCAGGGTGACCCTGCCTGGCTGCAGAGAGGGATCCCCAGGGGGGGAACAACAGAGCCCTGGTGCCACCCCTCAATGTGGCCCCCAATCCCCCAGCCAGGGGGGTTTCTGCTCTCTCAGAGCTTTTTTTGGGGGGTCTGGGGGCGTTGGGAGCACAAACCTTGCCCAGGCCATACAGGGGGTGATCACACCTTAAATCCCTGCAGGATTGATTCTCCCCAGGGTTAAATCTCTCCATCAGTCAGGGCACCCCAAGTCTGAACAGGGGGATCATCCCTGGGAGGGCAGGCCCTGGGGGGCTCAGGAAAGGCTGCTGCAAGGACAGCAGGGACAGGGGTGACAGACATCGCTGCCCTGAGCCTGTGAAAAAAGACTGCTGGAGGTTTTCCAGCCTGCCCTGTTATTTATGGCTCAGGATCAAGCAGCTGCTCCCGGCGGGGGCTGCCCCACAGCCCGTTCGTTCCCCATCTATGGAAACTTCTGATCAGGTGAAGTGAAATGCTGGGGGGGGAAAAAAGAATGAAATCCTTTAGCAGGGGCCCGACCTCGCCCCCTGGAAATGTGCCCCTCGGAGAAGGGCTCTGGGAGAGGCTTTGGATGCCTGACAGGAATAGCAGGAGGCTGGAGGAGCGCTTTTATAAAGCTCTGCTTCCTCGTGAAACCCAGACTGGTGTTTTCTTTTCCACTTGGACACGGATTTTCCCATAATTGTGCTATTTTTATGAAGGTTTCAGACAGAAGTGAAGGGCCTCTCCCAGCCCAGCGCCGGTGCCAGAGGAGCTGCGAGGCTGGAGGGTTCAGCTCTGACGCAGGTTCCCCAGCTCTGCCAAGTCCCTGTGCTGGCAGATGTCCCCCCAGGCTCCAAATGGGGGGGGTTTGCTCCATCTCTCCCTCACAGGAATGGATTTTTTTGGAGTTTCCTGCCTGGAGACAAACCCTGGGGCAGTTCTGTGCCAACCAGGATGCCCTGGGGGAAGAACAAACCAGGGGTGCCTCAAAACTGCCACAAAAACTAACACCTCACCTGGCAATACCAACCTCCACCTGACACACGAGGGGCCTTTGTCTGCCCCAGGGCAGCTCATCAGCACCCAATCCCTGCAGATGAGGTGCCACTGAGGTACCAGCTGTGCCCATCACAGGGGCCTCCTCCAATCCCAGGTTTTGCTGCTTTCTGGAGAAGGCAGGGTATATATCTGCTGCTTTCTGGGAAGCCAGGCTGTGTTGCTGCTGGGAGGGAGCTTTGTCTGTGGTGCTGGTGCTGCTGCTGGACCCTCAGCTGTGTTTTGGTGCTCACTCCTGGCCCCTGCTCTGGGTGTTGTGGGGGGTCAGGGGAAGGAGCCAGGTGGGAGCAGGTTTTACAGGGGAGGGAGTGAAGTGGCTGGGGGGGATGAATCTCTGTCAGCTTTAATTTGGGGTTGGGTTCCTGTCTGAAAGCAGGATTTGAGCTGCTGTGTCTCTGTTATCAGGGCTGCAGGAGGAGGTTGTGGCTCTGGTGAGGGATTGTCGATGTAATTCCCTTTGCAGGCCCGGGGAGGTGAATTTAATCTTTAAAACACTGAAGCCTGGTGGGAATGAGCTCCTCTGAGCTGGGAGCTGCCAGTGAGACAGGAATAATGTCCTTTATTAAATCCCAGCCACGTCATATGTGGGGTTCCTGGGTGTCCCTGGTTGCATGGCCCTTCCCCTGGTCCCTTCCCACCTGGGGGCTGCTGTGGAAGTCAGGGCTGTTGATTTTCCCCCTGGGTTCTCAGCAGCTCTGTGGGGCTCCATCCACAGCAGAGGCTGTTGTTCCCCTCCTCAATCCCTGCCCCTATCCCAGCAGCCTCAGATGTCCAGGGATTTTCTTTGGCTCCCTTTGGGGTCTCCATGGTGCTCCCTCCAAGAGCTGCTGAGCAAATCCCCTCGTGCCAAACGTGGATCTCCCCCAAACATGGATCACTCAGCCCAAACTGGGCCCTTGTGCTCTTTGAACCTTCCAGGCCAGGCCTTGCTGGGCTAGTTTTTGGGAGCTGCTGCCACCAATTCCCGTCACAACCCGGCTCTGAACGTCCCTGTGTGCATCCCACGGCCTGGGTTCCCAATCCAAAACAATTTGGGACTGTTTGGGATTTTGATCCAGGCAAGGCTCAAGCCTTGGGAAAAGCCCAGCCTCGGTGGCTGATGGGGACGAGGCTCCCTCTGGATTAGCTGCCCACGAGCAAGAAAAGCTATTTTGAACCAGAGGCTGGGAATGTTTGAGCTAATCCCAGGTGGAAGCTGATTAAGGGCTCTGGGGGGGAGATTTGGAGCAGATCCTGGTGGCACAGGGAGCCCTCTGGTCACGTTCCCCAGCTCTGCCTGCCCCAAGCACCCCGCTCCCCACGGAGGGAGGGGAGCTCAGCCAGGCCCGTCCCAAGGTGGTGGAGGGGATTTCATTCCCCAAACTCCCAACAGGGGCTGTGGAGCTCAATCCTGACCTTTGGCAGCTCTTGGAGCAGGGGAGGGCAGAGCTCTGTGCTCCTCTCCAGGCTGGGGAGCAAAGGAGGCACCTTCCTGAGTCCTTCACATCACCCTGGCAGTGCCAGGGCAGGGGCAGCCCCTGGGAAGAGATTGCAGGTCTTGTGAGCAGCTTCCCAACCACAGAAATGCTGAATTCCTGCCCCCCATCCTGCCCAGCACCCCCAGCTGGGTAAACAGCGAGCAGGGACGGGGCTGCAGCGTGTCCAGATTAAAGGGAAATCAAAATTAATCTCCCTGGACTCTGGGGATCTCGGAGGTTTAGCTTTTTTTTTTTTTTTTACCTTTTTTTTTTTCCTCCTGTTCATTCATTATTTTTAGCAGATGTTTCTTTATTTTTAGCTCCTCACAAAGGGCAGCAGGTACTGGAAATCCCATTCCCATCCCAGCAGCCTGGTCATGTGGGCAGGAGAGGGATGGGAGGAGGGATGTGGTGCCCGAGCAGCTCCAGCTTGGGAAGGATGTCCATGGTTGGCACAGTGAGGGGCTCTGTGGGGAAAACACAGGCAGCAAAAATGGTTTGGATGTCACCTGGATGTAAAAAAGGTCTGTGTTTTCCTCTGCTTTTCCACCTCCTTTCTGCCAAGGGGGATCCAGGGAGACCCAGGCTGGCACAGCCTGTACCCAGCTGAGCAAACCCGGAGGAAAACTGCAGGATTTGGGATTTTTTTTTAAATTCCTGGATGTTTAAATTCCAGCTGTTTGTGCAGAAATTCCTGCAGGTCTCAGGGAAAACAAACCTGGCTGTAGGGTGGCTGTGCCAGCCAGAGCTGCTCAGAAAGGAGAAAATGAACCCCCACCCATTCATTAATGAAGGGTAAAGGATCTGAGTGGTGCTGTGCTGGGAAACACTGGGAATGTTTTGACCCCAGAGATCCTGTGGGATTCCCTCATGGAGGAGCCTCTGGCACTGCTGGGCTGGGATGACCCCCCAAAAAATCAGGGTTTGCCTGTGGGCAAAGGGAACTGGAGCAGGGTTTGGAGCAGGGTTTGGAGCAGGCCAGGAATGACCATCCCCAACAAACAGGGGTTTCTTGGCTCACCTGGTCAGGCCAACCCTCAGCTG